CACCCCCTGCAGCTTCTTCTGCAAACTGACAATGAACTCATTTTTAGTGTGGCAAAGTCACTGCCACACTCAGGTACTCTACTAAGCAAAGTGGATGGGACTATAACTTTATTTCTCTCTCTGTTTTTATAAGTTTTAGGTTAGTACTTCATACTTTGAGGCTATGTGAATAAACTCTAAGTGTAGCTCCTAAGTTTTGAACCTATGTTCTACTATTTTATTTCCTTTGTGTGTCTGGTAGATTTACTGCCCATTGCACCGAAACCATTCTAACAAATGGGACATGCATGCATCAAAGAGGTACTCAACATGACAGCAATTCCCAGAATGCACTTCAAACACAGGTAAAGAGTAAAGCTAGGCTGAGAACAGTGGAGCACCATGGCCTCTGGCACCTCAACAGGCCTAAACACCAAAAATTCTAAGTTAAAAATCTCGCTTCTGCCACATACTTGTTCAGTGAATTGCCATTCATTCAGTTGTTCCTCCCTTCCACAATATATAAATTAAATATCAATAGTTGATAGAGTCAAGGTTATAAATCTCAATCTGCTCATTTGGATGCAGCCTAGACATATCAAGTTTTAAAACGGTGGACATTAGGTCTCTATATTCCTTTTTCTTCAATGTATATTTTTGAATGGATTTCATAAAATATATCCTAATCATATATAGACCCACTCCCTGATTTGTACTCCTTCATAGCCTACCCACAAAATGTCATGCATTCTGTCATATATGTTAGGGACTATTGAGTCAAGTTTGCATCCCCAGATGTCTCTCGGTGTGAGTTCCATCCACTGGAGCCTGTTCAGTCTATCTAGCATCAGTCCCTTAAAGAAGATCAGCTCTCCCTGGCCCAGCAGGATCATCTGATAATAGTTCCGCAGCTAAGGTTGAGGCCTCCTGCCCATTTCCCGTCTATGCTGGTTTTTATCTGATTGAGTTTTCCTGGGTCTTGTGCTGTAAGTTCATATGCATAAGTTCATTCTTTTTAATTTTAATACACTATTCATCAAATTCTAGTAGGCATTTTCTAAACTTTTAAAAAACAAAGTTGGAAAGATTAAAAAAAAAAACTACATAATGCTCAAGTACACAAACAGTGATAAGCAACTTATCATAGGAAAATGAAACTTTTTTTTTCATTTGAAGAGGGAAGAAACCAAAAACAAATGGTAAAATTTTCAAGAGTATAACCGATCTTACTCACACACACAAAAATTTTTTTCAAAAACCTGAGGGCTTTTCTTATTTTACCTACAGTATATTTAAGTACCTACAGTTAACCAAAATACTATTTTTAAACCTTAAAACAGAATTTCCAACACCCTGACATAGAATCACACGTTTCTAAGAAAACAGCAAAGTTCTTTTTCTTTTCTCTCAGAAGATGATATTTCTGAGTCTTACAGAAAGCATATTGCAAAACTAGAGCTGTGTGAGTGTACACGGGAAAAATCATGTCATGATTAGTTCAGTGTTCTAGTTCAGGTTCACTAGTTGTGACTTGGGGCAAGCATTTTATTACACTATACATATTCTTATCTGCTGGGATAAAAACCAAGTAGTAAACAGTTTACCTACTTAATCTAGGATCTTCACAGCAATGTTTTAGGAAAACTTGGAAGAAGAAGAAAGTTAGTAAACAAACCAAAACAGCTCTTTCCAGTTGGAGAAATGATAGTAAACATTCAGTTTGGAAAAGTGATGAAAAAAAAGTAGAGAAAATAGAGCAGGATATATGAGAAAAAGGCAGTGTGTATCGAAAAACTAATAGTGTGGCAGAGAGGTTAGTAACTACTATAAAATCACAGGGCTAGAAGTGGCAGATACATGCTCTACTCCTGTGCCCTGTATTAACACAGTGATAACAGGCCTAACAGGTAAGTATAAATACTTTGAGATGGTATAACAAGACACACCAAAGGTGTTATTTTCAGAAACAAGGCATTTAGTGTACAGATTTGAAATATAGTACATTTTATGAAGGATGAGCAAACAAAAGCCCTATGATACATCTGAAGTAACCACATCTACAAATTACTCTATGAATGTTGCAGGTGTCTTTTGAATCAAATTGTTTAAGAGAATTCCAAATGACTTTACAATTACAAAAACAGGGATTTAATTGCACTTTTTATAGCACAAGAGAATGGGACAATGTTCCCAACCAAACAAAGAGATATCAGTTATGGAACAGGAGAAATTACCTTGTGATGCATAGTGTCAGACACTATGTCTTTCTTTTATATTCTGCACCAGTAAATCCTTATAATACAGTAGCTGGTCTCTCTACTTTCAAACAAAATGAAAGCTTGAGAAGATCAAGAGCTTACTCAAGGTTAATTAGTAAATTTCAAGTAATCAATACAGAAGTTGTGGAACATACAAAAAGAAGTTAGTAGAATGGATGGGCAATTGGTAAGCTTGGATTAAATTTAATTCCACAAAAGCAAAGCAATTTTTCTTCCATGTGATCCATCATTCAAAAGACCAAACTGATAACTAAACTCTCAAAACTACAGATGGGGAGAGAAATTAAAAGAACGTGGTAAATCACCCATTCGCTCATCCACATTCCCTCTCCCTTTCTCTATCCATGTGGTCAGAGTATCAAAGGGATTGAATGTCAAACCTGAACAAACAGAAGATGCCGGTGGGGGTGGGGGGATGCGCCATGACCATTTATTATGAATACAGCTTATAAGGAAGGCAGAGGCTATGCCAACTCATGCACTGAACAAGTGGGTTAGGCATGATCAAAACAGAATTGCTGTAAAGGGCCTGGCTTTTGTTTTAATAAGAAAAGACAACTGGGATGGCATTTTATCCTACTTTCTGACAGGAAAGCAAGCAGAGCTCTGATAAAATGTCTTCCAAAATAGAGTTAATAAGCAGTACAGAAAGCAGGCATTTTGAGTAGAGGGGAACAGTGTTGGAAAGACAAATAGCTGATACTGGGAGGGCCAGAGGTTGCATGATCCTTTTTCCTATCTCCATTATCATAGAAGCCCCTGTATTGGACTTTAAAGGACAATGCCAAGTTCACAGTCATGGGCAAATGGAGCAGCTGAGGGCTTTTCTACTGAGGAATGGAAGGACAAAGAATGCTTGGAAACTACTATTACTTCACAGGAAAAAAAAAAAAAAAGAAAAAAAGAAGAAACATATCATTTGTTTCTTAGTTGTCCAACACAGACCATAACGAGAGGAAAAAAAAGAAGTAATTGCAAGTGGACCTGTAGTCCAGACATAAAAACTGATATGATACATATTTTCCTTGTGCTACAGGAACCTGAAAATTACTTGATGCTCTGAGGAACACATGGTGCTGGACTCCTAGCTTTAGTAGAGAAGTGTGGACCAGCAAGTCTCCAAGACCTCCAAGGCTCTGCTACTGAGTATGTCAAATGGAGACTACCTGTCTTCCTATTGCAAAGACTATCATGAACATCAATCTATGCAAAATGTTTACAGTTCAAAGTAAGAATATGGGGAAGGGAAATAGAGTTATGACTGATCATAAAGATGGAATGAAACTTAAAACGTGCTTATAAAGTGAAACTGAATATGCACATTTGTTAGCTTTTAAAAATTGTGAATATGTAATTTTAGAAAGCTATAGTAAGCATATAAATGCATGTTGAGTACAAATGAATACTTGTCAAGAAACAGAATTTTCATGCTAAAAAGATCATCTGTTCTAAGACACAAATTAAATCGTAACAGGAACTTTGTTATAAATGAACACATAAATAGCTGCTCTGGTTATATACTTCAGCTGACACTCGGCGGCTTGCTTTGTCTTTCCTCTGCATGGCTCCAGGAAATTTCTACAAAAGTTCTTTTATGAAACAACTTTAAAACCACAGATCGAGTGCTACCTCTAACTACTAAAATTCAGAATTAGGTCAGAGGTAAGGCTGGTCAAGGGAAAACTAGAATCAAGACTAAAACTAAATTCTCTTGAGTCTAGTAGTCTGTGATGTGCTCTCTTACCTTATTTTTTAAAGAAAAAAAATGAGGCTCTCTTTACTTTTTAAGTAATTCTCTTTTCGAATCTTCCTACTTATGGTCAGTTTTAATCATTCTAGATACAAGTAACCAAGTAGCTGGTAATGAATGAAAGAGAGAGAGAGAGCGAGAGCGAGAGCGAGAGCGAGAGCGAGAGCGAGAGCGGGAGAAAGAGAGGGAGGGAAAGAGAGAAAGACCAAGCCAGCTCAAGGTTTTTTTTTTTTTTTTTAAGGTTGAACTAAAAGCAACACTTTCCTGGAAGATGTTTGGGGGGAGGGGCTTAGTCATCCTGTAATCCCTTAAAACTGTGAAAATGAAAAACTGTCAGAGGGGACACAGGATACCTGAATGAACATGATGACTTGAAAATTTTCAATCTACGAAAAGTCTCTTCGCTGAATATGTGGCTTATGGAAAATGGTACTTGAACAAATTAGGTAACAACTTTTAAAGACCCCAAAGAAAAATGGGGTTATCACATTTCTTATCAGGAACCAATGAAATTCAACACATTTGACAAGCAAATGTATAGGAAAACCTTGACTACCTTTGTCCCCAGAAACCCAAACTACTTTTAAGGTAATGGGTTCTCAAAGTTTGAAAACTTCAGTACGCTGGGGAAAAAAAAAAAAAAAAAGTATACTTTTTGATCAGAACACTTCGATTTTAAGTAGAACTTGGATCCTGAGAGATTCTAAAATCCGAACCTACAAAGTACCTCTCTGCCACTATCAGAAGGGAGACTACAGGGCAAGTCGCTGATGCACACGCCTCCATCCTGTGTCGGCTCGGTTTTTGTTTTTTAAAGGCGCGATCCTAAGAAAAAAACTGAGTTTGGATTTGCTCTACTGCCTTCCTCGTATTCCAGGGGCTACTCCGCATCTTCCAGGAAGACAGGAGGGAGCCGGAAGCGAGGGGAAACGCTCCGGCCGAGGCCCTAGGAGGCCTGGGGCCACGACGCGCGTTCCACCACAGACACTGACCTTAGGGGTCTGCGCAACGTCCGGGCTCCACCGAACTGAGGCTCAAACATTCTCCCGAAAGCTGGGCTTTCGGTAGCAGAATCTATTACCCACGCTTCCGGAACTCGCGGGCTTCCGGAACAACGTAAGACCCGGAAGTGGCTAAAAGGAGGGCGGGGAGCAGGGGTGGGGTGGGGGTGG